CGACGTTCCTCTCTACACAAGAGGGTAGCTGGCTAAGGAAGCGATCCCACACTGGTTGTGTTTATTTCGGGACATCCTGATGTAGCCGTTTTCTCCCCAGGAGACGCCCCAGCTGGAACACACAGCGCAGTAAATGCATAAAAGGAGTTAGACTCACCAAATATACCAACAGCAGGGACTTATACTACTGAAAATATTGTTTTCCTGTGCCTTGGAGTAGTTTTGAACAGTAACTCGGAACACGTTGTTTGAAGCTTGAGGTCGGGTCATGTGAAAATAAGAATGCTCATTTATACAATGAGTGGTTAGTAATAGATGGAGAAGGATACTGACAGGAAATGTGATTTTTCTATTTTAAAAAGAGTTGATGGAACCTTTGTGTCAAGGCATTCAGTAACATTTTTATTCAATTGTACAGTAGAATTGTATGGCACAATTTGTGGATCGATGGTACTGCATATAGTGTTAGATTTGTAGTATTGACTATTGATTATGTATCTGGTCATCTTAAGACTGTATTGATCTTTCGAATAAACTACAGCTGTGAATGTCGTCTTAGTTTTATGGATGGTTGTGAAAAAAGATCTCCTTGCACACGTTAAGTTTGATTGATAGTTCAAAGGATCAAGGTCGTTCAAGAGACCTAAACTCTAGTCCATCAAACTTGCATGTACTGTATCTAACCTTCCAGAAAAAGTGTACTTCCTGCACAGAAAGCCTCTTCCAGCACACATAGCATGCATTAATGTTATACCAGTACCGTTAGGCTCACCTGTTTTTCACAATCCAGTAATCTTTAGTAGACTCAGTCCCATAGCCAACTACTAACACTCCATGATTCAGGGAAGTGGAGCTGCAGCCAGGCTCATCATAGATGCCTGCAATGAGACAGGGACACTTCTCGTTAAGAAGGCAGGATTATATTATGAAAAATTGTCTTGTTTCTAAATAGACTTTAAATGGTGCACATGAGCTAGCAACATTTGTAGTGTGGATAGCATAGTCTAATGCAAATCTCCTTCCTGTTAATAGACCTATTAATATTCCTATTAATGTTTAAGTCTGTTGTGGAGGATGCAGGGCACAGATCAGAATATTACCCTCATTCCCAACCTGGGTTCTGTCCCACTGGGGAATATGGATGAAAATATATGGATTTTGTGACACATGATCATAGCAGCCCCGCTCATGCCCGTCACCTGTCCCCCCATCCCTCGCCTTGGTGGTGGTGAGCCCGCAGCACAGCTCCACGTTGCTATATTGGACTGAGGCTGGTTGGGTAATGTGGGTTGGCCAGCAACCAGGTACTCATCCGCGAACGCCACCCTTGGCCCTGGCTTCAAGGCTGGGTGCTGGTGTCCCTGATCTGGGCAGGGATCTTCTGAGTTTTTATCGGAACCAAAATGGGAATCTAGTCGTTTGTCTGGTCCCACACCTTGGACCAAAACCCTACCAGGAGTGCAAAGCTCCTGACATCATAGCTCCTAGGCTCCCTGGGGCACTCAGACCTCTCCACCACGACAAGGTCGTGATTCCAGATGAGGATTCCATCTCTCAGCCGGCCTGAGGAGCTGGAGACTGTTGCTGTGGGAAAGGGCAGTCTGGTCTGCTCTGCCTGTTACAACCGTGAGCCTCCCCAGGAGTGAGTAGTGACAAAATGAGGTGAGATGAGATGATCGCAGGGCCTGCATCACGCTGAGAGCCTGGGACAGCT